CCATCCATTTACCAGCGAATGATAACATTTCGTTCTTCTTCATGGCTGCATAAAATTCCATTGTGTATAGATACATTTTCTTAATCCATTCGTCAGTGGTGGGGCATCTTGGCTGTTTCCATAACTTGCGTATTGTGAATAGTGCGGAATAAAGTGGGGATGTGCGAGGTGCCTCTGGTAGTAACAAGTCTTTTGGGTATATCCCAAGAGTGGGTATTGCTGGATCAAATGGTAGATCGTCGTTTATAACAGTTGTAGGGGGGATACATTGTGACATTTACATATGTGCATACAATATATCTTAATTAGATTCATCCCCTCTATCATTCTCCCTCATCCCCTTTCTCCCAACTTCTTAGAACAATTTCAACAGGTTTCATTGTTCTGTTCTCGTACATGTATACAAAAGTACATGTATACAAAGTACTACCATATTCACCCTCTTTTACCCTCTCCACTTACCCTCCCCTCTCCCACTGGTACCTACCCCCAGACAGAACTTGTTTTACCTGAAAGGAATACACTTTCAATAGACTGAAAGCAGAAAGATTTCCACAATGTGGAAGTTTTAGCAAGAATTCATTTTAGTATAAGAGGATAAAAGTAGGGGAAAAAGGGAGAAACATCTCCTGCTCCCTCTATGCAGGAAATGAGAGTAAAGACTCAAAATGGTGGTTTTCATCCATAGTCTTATACTTTCTGAACTGGGAGGAATATACATGGTCATGTGATCTAGCAACCCCTAATAATTAAGACAATGGGTCTAGGTGTCCACGATGGGTGCTGTTTTTTATTTTAAAACATGAAGATTTGATCCACCAAAAACATAGGGATAAGAGGTGAATTTTAGGACTTCCCTTTGTCAGACATATCTTTTATTTTTTATCTCTCCGCCCATTCTAGAAGCCTTGCAGCTTCTTAATGTTTCAGAGAAGGGAAAAGCAGATGCAGATAACCCCTTTATGTCTCTCTGTTCTTGTAACTTAATATCCAAAAGGAGATGGAAAGGGGGCTAGCTGCTCTGGCTTTTCAGTTTTTACTTCCTTAGTTCAATGTCCAAGTCTAGCCCATTTAATACTTATTTAAAATAATATAATTTGCCTGTCTCCTCATCTATTTATCTATCCTTCCTCAGGAAAGATAAACCAGAATCTAGATTGGTGACCTATAAGTTCAAGTAGGAAAGGGGTGGAAGTAAGAAGAAAGTGGGAGCATGGCAGAGGGTTGAGGAGAGAGTGACATTTCTGAGTATGTTGTGTGTGTTGCTCTGACTCATGGGACAAGGACCATAGCAGTGTTTCATATACTTTCCAAATAAGCAATTATAACCAACCAGAATGCAGGGGAGGGGGTCCTAAATGAACACAAACAATAACAAACGAACTTGTCCATGTTGCAAATGAATAAAGTAACTACAGAAAAGTACATGGTAAGAAAAGAACAAACCTAAGTAACTGTGGAAAACAGTATATTGCCTGGATGTGGGTAAGGGTGAAGACAGAAAGGACTATGCATAATGCTACAATCCAGTCAGTAAATGTTTTCAAAGGGGAATAATTTAGCAGCAACTTAATGCGTATGCTAGAATTGAATGAATAAGTAAATAAACTGTAGATAATTAGTTGAAGTTCTGACTGCTGGTGAAAGAAAGGAAAAGGGAAAAGTTGAAATGAATCTTTTGGATTGGAACCGGAAGCATTGTTATGAACTTGTGGTTTTAATGCATAGACAGAGGAATGTGGAAGTGTGTGAGTATGTCAGCACACATGTAGATGCTCTCTAGTTTTGTCTGCTGAGAGGGCAAAGAAGCTGTGACACCCCAGTCACAATGAGTATAACTACTGCCCAGATCTTGGTTTGTACATTTTATTCTCTAGTAAGTGGAAACAGGTTTGCTAGAAGTGGTTGATTTCAGGGTTAGGTCAGGGAAAATACAAGATAAGCCCGCAACTCTGGTAGTGCCAGACAGGCTTGTTGAAAGAACACAGGAGCAAACTTGAAGGAACACCTATTGGCCAAAGCTAGAATAATTTGAGCAAGTAATAAATAATCATAGTACTGGATTATAAATCATGGAATAAAATAGTTACTGCTTCATACTGATATAAATATACATCTAACTAACTAGCTAGGGAAAAAGAAAGAACTCTTCTTCACAATGGAATTTGAATCAATAAATGTGAGCAAAGAAGGTAGAGTAGAGGCAAACACCACAATAATAAATATTTGCACACACAAGGTCCACTGATAGCTGTTAAAATTAGTAGGTGGAAGTTTGAGGAGAGATAGTATTGCATAGTCTCAGAGTATTTCCCCAACATAGTTTCCAACTTCTAAGAGGAAAAATGTTAACTATGTAATGAAGAAACTTGTCACACACCAACTTAACTGAGTGATCAAGATAAACATTACCAATAAAAAGACACTTGGGAGCTGGGAGTTCCTATAATCCTAGCTACTTGGGAGGCTGAGATCGGAAGGATGCAGTTTGAGGCCAGCCTGAGCAAATAGTTTGTGAGACCTCATGTGCAAAATAACCAGAGCAAAATGGACTGGAGGTGTGGCTCAAGTGGTAGAGTGCCTGCTTTGCAATTGAAGCCTAAACCCTAGTCACACCAAAAAACAACAACAAAAAACCAAGAAAAAGACACATGAAGGCAGGTGTATGTGGAGGAGGAGCCCCATTTTAAGGAGATGGTGAAGGAAGAAATACCAAGGAACAGATGGAATGCCAGAGTGGATCAAGCCCATCACAGGCACCTGATGGAATACAGAAGTAAAACCAAGCTTGCAGAGATGTTACTGCCCATGAAATTCAAATGAGGATCTGAGAGACAACTAATAAGTAAGGTACACACACACACACACACACACACACACACACACACACACAAAAAAAATGGAGAGCCAGTTGAAAGTTGCTTAACCTGAAGTATAAAACTTGCTTTCAACTGTGTCTTAATACACTATGCTCCTTGGTCTAGCCACCTGCCATTCTCTCCCCTTTTATGGCATTCTAATAAATCTTTGCTTTCTTTTACTCTCTTGTCTCTGGTAAAATCTTTTACCAGCCTATGGCTCCCAAATCCATGACAGTGTGGTGATGCACACCTGAAATACTAACACTTGGGAGGCCAGTGCAGAGGACTGAGAGTTTGAAGTCAGCCTGGGCTACATAATGAGAACCCGTCTCGAAACAAAACCAAAAACAAACAAAACCATGGACATCACTAATTTCTTGATATCATGCATTGAGTATTGAAAAAGGAGACAGCATTTCAAAAATTGTATAACCTCATTCCAATCATAATAAAATATGATTCTCCTCATTGGAGAAACCCAAGTGGAGGGACAGCCTGTAAAACATTGATCAGTACTCTTCAGAAGTGTCAAGGTCTTGAAAGACCTTTCTGTGGATTACTAATCCCTTCTCTTTACCTGGAAATGTACCCCAATCCAAGTTGCTGCCTGAAAAACTCTTAGATATCTTCCCAAACCCATCTTATCTGTTCCCTCAGTAAAGCATTTTGTAACTTTCTTAAACAGTTCTTTTTCTGTATTCTTAGGAATTTCAGTCTCTCTCTCTCTCTTTCTCTCTCTCTCTCTCATCCTTCCCCCGCCCCAACCCAGGTCCTCAAACATGCTAGCAGGCACTCTACCACTGAGATCATCCCAAAACTTACCTATATCTCTTATACTCTATGTCCAGTGTTACTGTCTGTCCCCAACTCCTTCAGGGAGAGGGATTGTGACATGGTTTATCTTTGTGTCCGTAGCACATGGTGTACTGCTGGCAGATGGATGGTCCACTGAGAGTGAGTGAGTGATGATGCTTTAGTGCAGCAGACGGAGTGCATGAGGATGAGCATGTTAATGGGAGAAAGAGGATTGAAAATTAGCTTATAAACTCTGCTTTCTAAAAAATACGTATTTTTTTGTCAACATCTTATTTCAGTCATCCCTTAACCATGTATTCAAACATACCTCCCTTTCCTTTAGGGAAATTAAAATTTGGTCAGCAAAACTCATCAAGTTGTACATTCAGAATTTGTGCATTTTAGGCTAGTGGAATGGTTCAAGTGGTAGAGTGCCTACCTAGCAAGTGTGAGGCCCTGAATTCAAATCTCAGTGCTACAAAAAATTGTGCATTTTATTGTATGTAAAGTATACCTCAAGAAAAAAATGACAAAAATTTTGAGACAGAAAGAGGAAATCATTTTAATGACATTATGACTGAAGAACTATATAGCCAACCTCATGATCTAGAGAAATATTACAATGTAATATACACTTAAATGCAAATGAGATTTTTAAGGTGGGGCTACTCAGTTGGCACTCAAGAGGTAGAGCACCTACCTAGCATCCCTGAATTCAAGCCCCAGTACTGCCAAAAAAAAAAACTAAAACAACAAAAAGTCTCTCTGAGTTCAGGGAAGAATCCATGGGGGGCCAGAGCGTTTGTTGTTCTGTGTGGTATGTGGTTGGGCAAGGGGAGGATGGTAGCTTTTCAGCCTCATGAAAGTGGTGACAGCAGTAAAGAGTGGGACATGTTCAGAGAGAGAGCCCCAATTAAGTGGCTGGTAGAGTATTTCAAATATGATGTGTTAAAAAGATGGCCATAGTCAATTAGTTGGGAGAGACAGGATAAAATGAGACCCCCAGAATTGGGGAACCAACTGAATTGTGTCAGGGTAGTGGAAGAATTAAAAAAATAATGGAATTTTTGGCTCATTAATAAGTAAAAGATATTAACCAAATAGAGAAGTAAGGGAACAGAGGAAAATTTTTAGAGATGGTAAACAATTCTGTTTCCATTGCTTAAAAACATTAGCCTTTATTTTTGCTTCTAAACTGACTCAAGAATAAGCTATGTGTTTTGTAGAAATGAAGTCATGTTTTACATCTAATCACACTTTTGCAACATAAAACACGGTTTTTAAGAAAATATTTTTGTCAAGAAAATATGATGTTGCCATCCTTTGTGTTTTATTCTTCCTTAGATTTCAGTATAGTTGGCAGTTTTGTACTTCAGGACCTACTGGCATATGTGTCCTCAGAACACTCCTATCTCAAAGACCTTCCTCAAAGGCCGCCTCAGAGACTGAACACGGTAAAGTTCGTAGAATTGGAGCAGCTGCAGCCTGACACGTTAGTTCATGCAGTACTGAGAGTGGTGGATGTCACTATTCTAACAGGTAAACATTTTGAGATCCTCTTTAACTTTAGATCATAAAAATTTAAGAAAAGACAGTCTTACTTATCACTGTGTGTTTATCATGAGATGCAGTGTCACCAGTGATAGGGTGATGCCAACTGGCATATTCCTTTTCCTTTTCCAGAGGCAGTATATAGTTACAGAGGACAGAAGCAAAGGAAAATTACATTGACAGTGGAACAGGTCCAGGGTCAACAAAATGTGCTTGTATTATGGGGTCCTGGAGCAGCCTGGTATCCTCACCTTCAAAGGAGAAAAGGTAAATAAACTAAAAAAGCATTTAGCTTATTTATGTTTCAGTAAATGATTAATGCTTATGAGTCTAAATGAAGAGAGTCTGAAGAGATTAGATAGTTTTTGAAATAGAAGTGATCATAATTATTCTTCTGCAGACTATTCTTGCTATAATTTTATACCTACTGAAGCATTTTAGTTATCTAAAAGTTCTCTATAATTGAGAGTGGTGAAATAAAGTCTTAAATTTATTCCCAGTTATACTGTTTTACCTTTTTAGTGAAAATCTTATCTCCTTCAAATAGTGTTTTTTAAAATTTTAATTCTGGAGAAGCTTCTTTAATTTTTTTTTCAAATGCTCTGTAAAATATACTTCTCTCTGGTTATAAGGTACACATTAAGGAGTTACATTAGCTCTTCCAAGTCACAATTACTGTTCAATAAGTTACTATGTTGCAGGTTTTTATTCCAGTCATTTATAAAACATGGACTGTTAGCTCTTCTAGGATGCACATTTTATTTTATTTTTATTTATTTATTTTTATTATTCATATGTGCATACAATGCTTGGGTCATTAGGATGCACATTTTAAAAATGTGACCCAAAGCTGGTGCAGTGGCATATATAACATGCAATCCCACCACTTGGGAGGCCGAGGTAGGAGGATTACAAGTTCAAAGCCAGCCTGTACTACATAGCAAGACCTACCTCAAAAAATTTAAAAAATAAAAGAAACTACATTTTTCTTTAAAGCATAAATCAGTAATTTATGACATATTGAATTAAATAGGACTGATGTTTCAATAAACTAGTATGTTATCGTCCTTTTGCTATTGTGAGATCCTTATCTATAACCATTAGATAGTTTAATTAGTGATTTATGATTTTACCCTGAAAAATTAATTTAGAGATTGATCAGGCATATGACGCATTAAAAAAATTCTTTTTGGGACAAGTTTCACTATGTAATCTGGACTGACTAGACTGGTCTAGACTGGCCTTGAATTCAAACTCTTGCCTCCGTGCTGGGATTACAGAGATATACCACCATGCCCAGCTTGACCTATTATTTTTTTACCTGAGGGAGTTAATGTCTCTTTCCAAACTTCTGCCTATTGAGTAATTATCTGTAGGTTAGATCTGTCACGTTGTCTCTTAATCATTAATAGCCTGTAACCAGGGTTTGAGATAAGTCTGACTTTTAACTTTTATGTTAGGATCAAACAGCGACAGGTATTTGTTCAGTTGAGAAATTTGACAAACATGTATTGATGAATGACTGAACGATCACTCACCACCATGTCTCAGCTGGGAACACGAGTGTTGCTCATGCTGAACAAAAATGTAGGTCAGAGGTAGAGTGGCCAAGCACATTGCTCCATGGTTATGGTGAATAGTCTTTGAAGTTAATAGTTACTTGGTAATATAAATTACCAGCATCTCCAGATAATTTAACATTATTTTGATTAATATTGAATTAAGATATAATTGTTCTTTAGGCATTTATTAATTCACCTTACATTTATTTATGCGTTTTAACATCCATTTCAATACCTTGGGACAATTCTTTTGCATAGAAAATATTGATCTTGAAGAATCACTTAAATAGATGAGTCTACTTTCAGAAATTGCTAGCATTCCATTTGTTGATTTGTATTTCTTGAGACTTTCTCTATATTAACCTCTGTCCTGGGCATTTATTTTACTTGCTATTAAGGATAACAAATTCACAATTAGGTGATATAATCAGAAATGATCACCAAACAGTCATTACTGAATGCCAGAGTTGATTGGAATTGATGAAACTTATTCAATGGAATTGATGTTTTGAGGACAAACAATAAGAAATCCCCAGTTTGCATACCTTTAAAATATGTACTGCTATGACAATGTGTCATATGCAACAAGGTTGGTCACAGTTTAGATACTAAGGAGAGTGAACTAGGGATATAAATTATACAATTTTTTTTTTAGTAGTTCTGGGCTTCAAACTCAGGGCTTTGTGCTTGCTAGGCTGCTGTACTGCTTGAGCAGTACAACCCTAAAATTTACACTTCTTAGGACTAGTTGGGTAAGTGTAAGCTAAACTACCCAGAACTAAAATTGCAGTGCATTCCAATACAATATTCTTCTGAAATTATTTAATAGAAGTATAATACTTCAAATATATAACAAATCAAAGTACTCTCATAACATAACTAATTATGCACAAAGTAATACAAACAATCCCAACATTTATGATTATATATTATACAAAGTCATAATTATGTCTGTGTGGTTTGCAATTTATTTGCATCCTTAATTCATGATTCAAATATAGAAGTATATCTTCTAATTATAAGCTTTTAGTGCCCAAGTTAACTATATGTATGTGTGTGTGTGTTTATAGCTTTATAGTTTCAACCACATACAACATATGGTTAAAACTATACATATGCTGGGGATTAAACCCAGAGTCTAATGCTTGTTCCACCACTGGACTATATACCCCATCCCTAGCAAAGAAAATTTGATTTCCCAGACTAAATCTGATTCATAAACCGTGGCCAGGAAGATAGGATTTTATAATACTATATGAGGGTTTGAGTTTATTTTAGGGCCAAGGAAACAGATAAGGGAGTTATTTTGGTTCAGGTGAACATATAACTGTATTCACTACCAAAAAGTATATATTCACTAACTTAGAAAGATGTATATGATGTATTACTTAGTTAACAAAGGACATTGTAACACTTTTTGTATAATAGGATCCCATTTTAATAAAGTGTATCTCTAAGTATGTATGCATGTACGTTTAAAAATCTGGAAACATGAATGCTATAATTTCAGTACTCAGGAGGCTAAGACAGGAAGATTGTGAGTTCAAGGACAGCCTGGGTTACATGGCACAGCCCTTCCTCAAAAAATTTTTTTTTAAATCTGGAAATAAGCTGGATGCTAATCCTAGCTACTTAGGAGGCCAAAATTGGGAGGATCAGTTTGAGGCTAGCCTAGGCAAAGTTAGTGAGACCCCATTTCAACCAATAGCTGGGTTCAGTGGCATGCGCCTGTCATTCCAAGCTAGTGGGAGGTTCATATCTGGAGGATCATGGTACCGGGCTTGCCCATACAAAACAGTTTCTGAGACCCCAGTCAATGGAAAAATGCAGGGCAGTGGAATGCACCTGACATCCCTGGAACAGTAAAAAGCATAAAATAACCAGAATAATCAGAGCAGAAAGGGCTGTGACTATGACTCAAGTGGTAGAGCACCTGCCCAGCAAGTGTATGGTCCTGATTTCAAACTCAAGTTCTGCCAAAACCAAAAAAAAGATCTGAAATATATATTCCAAAGTGCTAGCAGTGGTTATCTCTGTATAGTAGTATTAAGTGTGGTTTCTTATTTTTTCTTTGTGCCATTGCTTTGAATTTTATTTGAATTTGTGTATGTATCTGCATTTCCAAAATCTTTTTCAAACATGAAAAAGTAGAGAGATTAGTAAGTATATATAATGAACTTAAGTATCCATTAGCCAGCTTATTAAATCATGGCCTGTCTTATTTCACCTATTATCACCCCTTTCTCTTAACTGTCCAAATATTTTGTAATAAATGCATTTTATTTTGTTAGAAAAATTAAACAAAATCTTTTTCCTTTTGACAAAAATAGTAATTGTCATTTGGAGCATCTAGCTAACAATTTGAGGTAAAAAAAAAGAATTAAATTTCTATTTCATATTTTAAAGTAAATCCTAGATGCATTTGTGATTCAATTGTAAAATAAAACAAAGCAAAAACCACAAAAAAGAAAAATGGGTAGGAGAAAAAAAATATGTCAACTTATTTGGAGTCCAAGGTGGCAAATTAAAGTGTAGCAACAAAAACTACTACACATAAAAACCCACCATGTACAGAATTAAAAGATGTGACAAACCAAAATAAAACTCCATTGTTCTATAAAATAATGCAGTAAGCAAAAATCTATAATGACAAGTGGGTAAAGGATATGAGTAGGCAAGACTCTTAACAAAAGGTAACAAAACAGACAATAAATCTATAAAAAAGTTGCTAGTAATTGGAGACACACAGGTAGAATGATGATAGATTCTTTTTTTTTTCTTGAAAGAAACTGACAGATAAATGGGGGGTGGGGGGTGGGGGGTGGGGAGGCTGGTGGAGTGGCTCAGGTGATAGAGCACCTACCCAGCAAGCATGAAGCCCTGAGTTCAAACCCCAGTGCCGCCAAAAAAACAAAAAAAAGCATCCACTCATAAACTGTTGGGAAAGTAATTGGCAGATTTTTTTCTGAGATCACCTGATAATGCATATAAAAGAGTTTGGGATACTTTTGGCTCATTAATTATACCTGTAGGATTTTGTCATGGCTGCATAAAGATGTACCTAAAATGTGTTTATCATAGTATTGTTTATAATAGTAAAAATTCGTAAAGAGTGTACCAAAATAGAGAACTTATTATGATTCTAGTATGTCTGTGCAATGGCACATTATGCAATTAAACAGTATAAATTAACCCTTAACAAAATGTAAAATATGTATTTGATATATTAAGCAAAAATTGAATAAATCCAGAACAACTAGTTGTCCACTGAAATGCTAACTGTGGCCTAGGGACATGGCTCAAGTGGTAGAGCATTTGCTTTGCAAGCCAGAAGCCTTGAGTTCAGTCCCCAGTACCGAGAAAAAGAAAGTTAGCTGTGCTTATTGTAGGGTGCTGAGATTATGAAGCCTGTGTTTATTTATTTATTTAGCTTACCTGTGATTTCAAAATGCTCATTTTCTAAGACAAGGAAGGTTTTTAAAAGCAGGATGGGGTTTTAATCTTCCCCCACTTTGGTGCTGGGGTTTGAACCCCAGAGCTTTGTGTATGCAGGGCAAGCACTCTACTACTGAGCTACTATCCCAGCTCAGCTAGCTCCAAAATAGACTGGAGGAGTGGCTCAAGTGGTAGAGAGCCTGCTTTGCAAGTGTGAAGCCCTGAGTTCAAACCCCAGGCCCACCAAAACAAAGAAGAAAGCAAGACCTAACTATATAAGAAATTGAAAGGTGTGACAAAACAAGTGAGCAAGGGATATGAGCAGGCAAGACCATAAGAGGTAATACTTATTTATATGTATATTAAATATGTATAATATGTATTTATAATATATATTTATATATATAATATTAAGAAATTAAGGAGGAAAATGGGTGTAGAGAAGAAATCTTTTGTTTATAACTTTAATGTTGAATTTACTGTTATATAAGATGATTATTTGGCAAAAAACGTCTGTGCTACTGTGATTTAAAAATTAGGCTTATTATTAAGAGAATTAAAAATAGTAACTACTTTTTCTAAATGGTTTTTTGTTGTTCTGGAGAAGTTAGCTAAGTAAGTGTTGAAATATGTCCATTTAAGTTAAAGAAATTAAAGAAAGTTTTGTAGATATCAAAATAAGAATTTGCTATTCTATAAAGCAGTTGGTTATGATAAATTATGACTGTTTAGGAGACCAAGAAGTCATTAGAATTTCTTTTTTTGTGTGTGTGGTACTGGGGTTTCAACTCAGGGCCTACACCTTGAGCCACTCCACCAGCCCTTTTTGGTAAAGGGTTTTTTCAAGATCGGGTCTCGTAGAACTGTTTGCCCGGGCTAGCTTCAAACCACCATCCTCCTGATTTCTGCCTCCTAAGTTGCTAGGATTATAGGTGTGAGACACTGGCGCCCAGCTTAGAAAAAATATTATTAAAATCATCTCTAGCTGCGCAGTGCCTGTAATTCCAGTACTTGGGCATTGGAGGTAGGAAGAACCAGAGTTTGAGGGCTACCTAGCAAGAACCTGCTCTGGAAAAAGAGGAGAGAGGAAGAGGAAGAGAAGGGAAAAGAAGAGAGGGGAAAGAGAAGGAAAGGAAAGCAGAGAAAAAAGAAAAGAAATATATGTATCATTCTTATCCATTTATTGTAAGATAACATTCATATTTTGTCTCTTCATACCCAAATACTTTACTGATAAACGTTGTATTTAACTGATTTGATTAGGTTAATATGTTTAATATGATTCTAGACTTTTTTCTTTTTGTTGACTTTTTGCTTTTGTTTTTGTTTAAGATTGTATTTGGGAATTTAAATATCTTTTAGTTCGGTACAATTGTGTACTAGAAAACATAGAATTGCATACAACACCATGGTCATCCTGTGAATGCCTGTTTGATGATGATATAAGGGCAGTTACATTTAAAGCAAAATTTCAAAAGAGTGCATCATCCTCCATGGTCAAGATGTCAGACTTAGCAACCCACCTAAAGGATAAGCATTCAGGTAAGATCTGTACCTACATAAAAAGTGTTTAGTTTTAATATGAGGAAAGAAGCTATCATTTGTGAGAAATGTATAATAAATATAAAATAAAATATAGGTCTTTGCAAATAGCTCAACCAGATACTGAAAACTTCTTAGCTTTCTGCCTCCAATCCTTTGAGATTAATTTGTAATTATTAGGGATTGCTTTAAGTATTTTTCAGGCATAATTACAGCAGCTCATCATTTAATAGTCCTTTTTCTTCCAAGTTAAATATGTCAATGTGGAATAAATAGGTAAATTATATGGTAGATGAATGCTTAACCTTTCAAGAAACTGCTGAACTGTTTTCTAAAGTGGTTGTACCATTTTTTTTTTCAAATTTCAGTGGGATTAGTTTTAAGTCCAGTGGTTGTATCATTTTATATTCCTACCCATAGTATATGTAAGTTCTGATTTCTACACATCCTGGTTAACATTTGGTGTGGACATTTTAAAAAAATTTAGTCACTTGTCAGCCAAATACTCTACCAAAGGTCTGCTTATTTATCTTATATTTTGTAACCTTGCTAAACTCACTAAGCTCAATAGTGAATCTTCTGTAGATTTGAATGTTCTATGTAGAGCTTGATTACTTCCTTTCAAATGTGATGCTATTTATTTATTTTTCTTCCCTTGCTGTACTTGGTAGTTCCTCCAGTGTAATATTGAAAGAAAAAAAAGTTGTGAGAGTGGACATTTGGACATTCTTACCCTATTCATGATGGTAGGGAGAAAGCATTCATTCTTTCATTAGTAAATATGATGCTGGCTGTAGATTTTTCACTGGTTTCTTTTATCAAGTTGATGAAGTTGTCTTAGATTCATAGTTAACTGAAATTTTTAATCAGAAGCTTGTGTTAGATTTTATCAAATGCTTTTTCTACATGTATTGAGATGATCATGTAGTTTTTCTTTTTAAACCCTGTAATAAAGCTATTTATATTTGTTGATTTTTTTTTTTTTTGTCAATACAAAAAAAGACCTTGATTGAACTCAAGGTCTTGTTCTTGCTAGGCAACCTCTCTACCACTTGAATCATGCCCTAGTCCTTTTGTTTTTTAGCTTGTTTTTTAGTTTGTCCTGAGTTGGCCTTAGACAAAGATCCTCCTACCTCTGCCTCCTGAGTAGCTAGAACCACAGGCATACAGCAACATGCCAGGCTCTCTGATTTTTTTTTTTTTTTGAGACAGGGTCTTTTTTTTTTAAACCTTTTTATTAGTATATGATAGTTGTACAGTGGTTTTCATTGTAACATTTCCACATGTACATACCATGTACCCCACCATTATTCTCCCTTAACCGCATTCACTGTTCTTAAAATGACTGAAGGTTTCAGGGCTTCATACACGTATAAAAAGTATATCAGCTATATTCACCTTCCTTTACCCTCTTCATTCACCTTCCTCTTCCCACTAGTACCCTCCCCCTAATGTTACTTATTTTATTTATTTATTTTTAATGTTATTATTATTTTTTTATTTTTATTGTATTCATATGTGCATACAATGTTTGGGTCATTTCTCCTCCCTTCCCCCACCCCCTCCCTTACCCTCAATGTTACTTATTTTATATTCTTGTCCTTCATTGTTTAAGTTTATGTTCATTCTTCAGGAGGATTTTGCCTTGGTATTTCACCTGTAAATATATTGTTCTTTAATCAGTTTAACCCCCTCTATTACTCTTCCTTACCCTTTGTCCTCTACCCTGTATTGTTCAACAGGTTTCAGTGTGTTTCATTTTGCCTTGTTCCTATACAGGTGCGATGTATTTCAATTTTATTCACTCTCTTCTCCTTTCCTTCCTCCCCTAATCTCCTCAAATAGTCAGGGTCTCTGTATCCAAGGGTGGTCTGGAACTTGCTATGTAGCCCAAGCTGACCTTAAACTCCTAATCTTCCAGCCTCAATCTCCTGAATGCTGGGATACAGGTGTGTGCCAGTATGCTTGGTACATTGATTAATTTGTTTGAATGTTAGACCAACTTTGCATTCATGGGATAAACCAAACATCGTCATGATATATATTCTTTATTTCTTTCTATTGTGGTGCTGGGAATTGAACCCCAAACCTTGTGCATGCTAGGAAAGTGCTTTACCACAGAGCTACATCTTTAGCCCTTATACATCCTTTTAATATATTGTTGGGTAAAATTTGCTAATGGTTGTTAAGAATTATTTATGTCTATGTTCATGAGGGAAATTTGTAGCTTTTTGTTCTTATAATGTCTTTTTCTGGTCTGGTGATTGAAGTAATGCTTACACGATGAGTTGGGATGCAGATCCTTCTCTTCAATTTTCTGGAAGATTTTTTTTAAGAATGAGAATGGTTTCTTCCTTAAATATTTGGTAGAATTCTTCAGTGAAGCCGTCTGGGTCTGAATTTTTTTGTGTATGGTGTTGGGATTTGAACTCAGGGTCTTGAGCTTGCTAGACAGGAGCTCCACCACTTGAGCCAGGTCACAAGCCCATGAAAAAAATTTTAATTAAAATGTTTTAATAACAAATTCTATTTCTTTAATAGATAGAAGGCTATTAAGGTCATTTACTTTCTGAGTGAGAGCTGGTAGTCTATTTATGGTCTTCAAGAAATGTGTTTATTACATATAATTTGTTGGTTTAACAAGAAAAAATTATTGGCATAAAGTTATAATATTCTCTTACTATCGTTTTTGATAGTGATAGAATTTATAATGATACTGATCTTACCTGATACTACTAATTTGCATTTTCTTCTCCCTTTTTTCACTGATTTGGTAAGAGGTTTATCAGTTTTATTGATCAAACAACCACCTTTTGGTTTCACTTTTCTGTTTTTCTGTTTTGTGATTGATTTCTGTACTGGTCTGTATCATTTATTCTCCTCTGAGTATTTGGTTTTTTTCTTATTATTATTTAAGCTGGAAATTGAAGTCATTGGTATGGGACTTTTCTTTTTTTCCAGTGTAGATCTTTAATGCCACAAATTTCCCTCTAAGTGAAGCTTCTGAGATCTCTAACGTATGCATTATGAGATTTTCTACTCTAGCGTGCGTGAAAGGCACTATTCCCAGCTCTGTGACAATTCTAGGGACTAGTCCATCTTTTTGGGTGATTTTTTTCCTTGGCCTCTGGTCACATGTTCTGGTCAGCACATACTTAGCCAAATTGTCCTAGAGACCCCAGACACCAGTCATCTCGTTAGCATATGAAAGATACTGTTACCTCTTTGGAGATTCCAAGGGTTTTAGAAACTGTGTGCCAGAAACCAGAGACAAAAACTGAATATTTATTTATTTATTTTTATTATATCACAAGGTGGGAATATAAATTTAATCTTTTACTTCACTTTGGCCAAATGCCAGATTAAAAGCTTACTTGTGTTAATATACGTATGGCTGTTTTCCAAGATATAATTGTAAGTAAGCATTGTTACACCATAAAACTAAGCTAAGGAGATTGCAAATAGAAAATAAAAACACTTGTCAAAACCCCAGCTTTTGGGCTGAAGGAGTGGCTCAAATGGTAGAACACCTGTCTGGCAAGTGCAAGGCTATAAGTTCAAACCCCAATACTGCCAAAAACAAACAAACAAACAAAACAAAATGAAACAAAATCCCTTTTACTTGGGCACCATGGTGCACATTTGTAGTTCTAGCTACTTGAAAGGCAGGATGATTACTTGAGCCCAGGAATTTGAGGCTAGCCTGAGCAACATAGCTAGACCTCATCTCATAAAAACAAAACAAAAGCATCTTTTAGTTGAATAAAGAGATTTTATTCACAGAAAAAAACTTCATGGACTGGGGATGTGGCTCAAGTGGTAAAGCGCCTGCCTAACAAGAGTGAGGCCCTGAGTTCAAACTCCAGTACCTCAAAAACAAACAAAACAAACAAACAAAAAGAACTTCATAAACATAGTTCTAGATGAGGCTTTTACCAATGCTAACAGTTAATAATATTTTTTTCTTTTGGTGGTTCTGGGGTTTGAACTCAGGATCTCATGCTTGTTAGGCAGGTGCTCTACCACTTGAGCCATTCTGCCACTCCTTTTTTTGAGTTCAGTATTTTTGAGATAGGGTCTTGTAAATTATTTGCCTAAGCTGGCCTCAAACCTCAATCCTCCTGATCTCTGCCTTCTGAGTAGCTAGGATTATAGGTGTAAGCCACCTGTGCCCTGCTTATAAGCTTTTATATATATAATTTTTATACCACTTTCAAAATGGAAATTGCTTGTTGTTAGAATGTAAGAGGCATAGAAGAGGCTAGAAGACAGCTCAAATGCCAGCACAGGATTTATTTGGGAAGAAACCCTGCAGAGAGGGCCCATTGCAAGAGAACTGCAGCCCACAGCCTCTTACAGACTTGGAGTAGATATAGGGGAGTGGTCTGGAGGGAAATTTTGCTGGATAGGGAAATTTTTCCAGAGTGAAGTTAACAATTGCTAGGGGAAACTAGAGGAGATAAGTAGTAATTAGGTGGATAAGTTGGTCAGCTCTGGACTCCCTGGTGAGGTGACAGCTTGTCATTTCCTTGAGGCTAGATGTGGTCCTTCCAGTGAGTGGTGAGGTGTCTCCAGTAAGCTGCCTGCGAGGGTGAGGGTTTGATCCCTACATGGTTTCCCTTTTGTTTACCGTAACACTTGTGACTCAGAAGACTCTAGATTTATACTAAATCTTGGGTAATGTTATAGTGTCATATAAGTTCCTTAAACCAGTTTCAAGGTTATATATACTATCTGTCTCTCATCCTTAACAGTCACACAGAGCTGGTTACAAGAAGGAATGCCAACTGGGCTCTGGTGGCTCACACCTGTAATCCTTGCTACTTGGAAGGCTGAATTGGGAGGATCAAGGCTCAAGGCCAGCACAGGCAGATAGTTTGTTTGAGAGACCTCCATCTCTAAAGTAACCAGAGCAAAAATGGACTGGAGATGTGGTTCAAGTGGTAGAGGTCCTGCTTTGCAAGTACAAAGTCCTGAGTTCAAATCCTAATCCCATCCAAAAAATAAATAAATAAAAAAAAATTAAAATAAGGACTGCCATAGGCAATAGAGGGGCCACATCACTTTACATCGATTTTTAATTTGGTACCGAGGATGAATCAACTTTGTTATCTGTTGCTTACACAAGACACTTACCTATTGGTGAGAAGACCTAGAATTAGATCTAAAAATAAAAATAAATAAAATCATAGACATCAGCACAATAGGTGGCCACTGTGCTGGTGATTAATGGTACCAAAGATACAGTCCCACTGGCTTGGGGATGAGGCTGGGAATTGGGAGTGTTCTTGGAAATCTTAGGGATTTACTCTGCATTGGAAAACCATGCCAAAATGTTGTGCTTTTATAATCAATCCTTGCTAGGCTGTGATCAGAAAAGCCCTTTTAGCCTCTTTCATTCTCTTTATGTTCAACCACGAAAGCTGAATTCATAGTTTGTAGTATCATTTACATGATTTGTTTTGTTTTTTGGTGCTGGGATTAAACCCAAGCTCTGTGCATACTAGGCAAGTGCTGAGTTTCATCTCCAGCCCGTTTTTGTTTTTGTTTTTGAAACAAGGTCTCACTATGCAGCCTAGGCTGGCTTTGAACTCAAAAATCCTCCTGCCTCAACTTCCTGAATGCTGGGATTATAGACATGCATCACCATGTAAGAGAACATGGAAGGACAAGCAACTTTTTCCTAATCTACTTCATAGTTAAATAAAAGGAGGGAGAGAGGGAGGTCAACATATAAGAATTTCCTAGAGGGTCTACTTGCTGAACAGAAGCCAGGGAGGAATGAGGCTATGCTTAACTCAGGGGAGAGGAGATGTCTGCTCAGTTTCTCCTACCATCAGCAGAATCTCACTGCCCACCCCCTGAAAGTAAAGTCCATGTTTAGAGCAATCTCTTAGTTTTTCAAAATGTGTAAGTTTACGAAATGATAGGATTATATGAACATTCTTCTAAAATTATTAAATTCTACTTTAAATATTTCATTTAATGATTCATTGTTTCTATGGAAAGGTGAGGTATCAAGTCTGCTGTAGTTTATTAGACACATGACCACTGCCTACTCCTGCTAACTCACGTAGAGATATAGGGCATGATTACAAGAAATAATGAAATAATCTTTGGGCACTGAATGACTAAAGCAAATGGACAAATATAAGAATGAGAGTCACCACTGAACTCCAAAAAGATGACCAGAAAGGAGACCAGAATAAGGACTTCTTGACCTGTAATGTTCAGACTTCTAAGGGGACGGTGATGGTTAAGCTTGATTGTCAACGTGATTTGATTGAGAAATATCTAGGAGATTAGGAAAGCATACCTGTGGATGTGTCTATGAGGGTGTTTCCAGGGAGGATTAACAAAAGTGGGAGAACTTCCTTGAATGTGGGCAGCACCATCCCACAGCCCGAGTGGAATAAATGGGCAAAAGGAGAAAGCCAACGAGCTCAAGCATTCTCTCTCTGCTTCCTGGCTGCCATTATATGAGGTCCTGTGGTCTGTTACACCCTCTCTGCCACAACAGACCTCTGTGGTACTGTTTTTTTTGTTTTCAGTTTTGCTCTGCTGGCACAGGGGTTTGAACTCAGGGCCTCATGTTTACTAGGCAGGAACCAGGATGGTCCTCTGAAACTGAGCTGAAATATCTTTCCTCCTTGACGTTGTTCATGTCAGATGTTTCATCACAATGACGAAAAAGTAACACAAGAATGAAAAAACTTCAAGGTTTAAAGAAACCTTTAATCTAAGTATGGAAAGGAGGAAGAGCAGTGCTCATTGACCTCCCTAGTATATAGAAGAGCAAAGATAAATTAGGAAAAAAAAGTAGGTCTGGCAGATAGCAGACTATCTGGGGAACCATTAGTCAGTGAGCATGCTTGAGGTTCCAGTGAGTCATATGAGAAGCCTTTTTCTTTTCCTTTTTTTTAGGTTAGAACTCAAATAAATCTTCACTCAGTTGCTGGCAGATCCTTTGTTAGAGTCCAGACTCAGTATAGAAGCCATAAGTGAGATTCTTTATGAAGGGATGAAGACCAAGAGCAAGATTTCATTGTAGACTTCACAATAAGTGACTATGAAGCAACCAGATCACTAGCCATGTCTGTAAATTAAAGTTATCATTTGGCTCCAATAATTTACAACACTTTTTGTTTTATAGGAGTGGTTCTGATTAGAGCCAAGATTTTAGAGCTGGTATTCCCTGTTGCAGCTCAGAAGATAGTTCTAAGTGCTCACAGCTCTCTGAAGAGTATCTTCTCCTGTCTTCCCAACATGATATTTACTGGCTGTGCAAAATGTGGATTGGAACTAGAAACAGATGAGAACAGGATCTACAGACAGTGCTTTAACTGTTTGCCCTTTGAGAGGAAGAAAATATACTATAGGTAAGGAAATGAAGCAAGCCAATTTGATGAAAATATTTATTAATATAGAAGTAGAGATGACTAAAAATTTACAATATCAACTCTTACTTTATAATAAGAACTAACTGGAAGCTCTGGCAAGAGAGTAAAAATTTTCCCAAGTGACAAATAGCTGTTTTTGGAAAGGGGCAGTAGTGTGTATTGAACTCCAGGCCTCATACTTGCTAGGAAATTGCTCTACCACTTGAGCCATGTCCTAGTCCACAAATAGTTATTTATGAAAGCAAAAGTTTGCCAATCATGGTATAAGAATTTTTTACTTGGGAGATTTTTTTTTGAGACAGGGTCTTAACTGTAGCCATGGCTGACCTCTACCTTGTGACCCTCCTACCTCAGCTTCCCAAGTGCTGAGATTACTGATGGGCGCTACCACACCCTGCTATAGTCAGCATTCTATCATGGCTTACTTCAAGAAAATTTACAGACACATAGTCCATAAACCTTACTTCTGTTTACAAATATTTATGTTTGTTATAAGTAAGTGGATAGATTTTGCTATTATTTTATACATTGCTTTTGTAACAAAGAAGATTGAATTATGATGCCTGCTATATAACAGACATAATTAATTAAAGTTGACTTCTTATCAATAGTTAAAGGCATCAAAACTATGCATATGTGACTGTTTTATACAGAATCTGTTTTGAAACAGTATCTGCCCATGTAACCCAGGTAGGCGGTGAACTTACGATCCTCCTACCTCCTGAGTGCATGTAGGTAACTTATTTTATGTCATCTCAAATGTTCCTATTCAATATAATTATTTAATGTGTACCAGCTTTTTTGGTGTTTCAATGGGGCTTGAACTCAGGGCCTCAGGCTTGCTGGGCAGTGCTCTACCGCTTGAGCCACTCCACCAGCTCCTATAATTACTCATCTTAAAGCTGTGATAGAACGTCAACACCATCTTTAACAAGGTTTCTACAGGATGTGTATTCAGAATATTGGTTTTTGGGACATAGGAAATACATTGCATTTTTTTGTACAGAAGTAAAGAAACCAACAGGTTAAACCCCTGGCCAGAGAGGAAGCAGTATGGTGCTTGGTCTCTAAAGAGCTTCTAGATGAGGTATGGACTGGGACTGCAGCTGTCTAAAGGCTTGGCTACATCCGTTTCTAAAGCTACTCGTTGACATGACTGGAAAGTTGAGCTCCTCTTTGCATGGGTCTCTCATCCCAGTGCAAGCCGGCCAAAAGAGAGTACCAAGGGGAAATCCTTTTTAAGACCTACTCTCAAAAGCCACCTGGTATCACCTCTGCTATTCCTCTGTTTATGAGCCTGATTCTAAATCTGTTCTCAATTTATTTTTGGCAGGCCGGCTTTAATGACAATAGCAGATGGAAGATGTAACGCTCGCATCCATGTAGGATCAAAGTTGATGGAGAAGATTCTTCTCAACATTTCTCCAGACTGCCTCAACAGAGTGATAGGTAGTATCCTAACACACAACCAAGAGGTTGCTCTTTGTGAAACCATTCGTTCAGGAATATAGGTGGAATAGAAATTGGAATAGAAAGAACAATACGCTGTAAATTAAGTTCTTTTCTGTGAATATAGAAGCAGAAGGATAATTTACCTTGAGTGAAATATAAGCTATGTAAGGCTTGCTCTACATTCTCTTAGTATGTGACTAGAAGGAAGCACCTCATCTCTCTTTTAACCCAAATTCCCAATGGGTCAGCAAAACACTAGGGCCCTAGTTTTGTAATAGTTCAACAAATGAATGTGTAACACCATGTGTATGAAGATATTCCACTGTCAGTGGAATGAATTTTGTAAGGTCTCCAGGATCCAGGTGCCAGGGACAGCCAGTGGCTGAGAACAAAGTGAATATATCCTACCTGTCAGTTGATCAAACTCCATACCTGTCCTCATCGGGCTCAGACTAGATTAGCAGATAAGCTAATCTAGTTCTTTTGTTTGTCTTTCTCTTAATAGTGGATTATTTTCCTGCTTTTTGGGTACTTAGTAATTTTTGTTTGAATGCTGAACATTGCATACAGCACAGTACAGACTGGTAAACAGTATTTGTATCTGGAAGTGGGCATGTCTCCTCTCCTAGACTTTTTCTGGGGGTGAGGGAGGCAGGGTAGAGTCAGCCTTGTAGATGTTGAGTTGGGTTCAGGTTTTGCTATTCCTGTGGTTCCCTTCAGGTCACCACTCACCTCAGATTCCTTGAGTTTCAGGGATGGGGAGTAGATCTCTGCAAGTCTTGCTATGCTGTCAACTTTTGCCTTTCTCTCTGCACCTGGACCTCACAGTGAGCCTCTCCCCATGTTTGTTTTAAAATTGACATTTAGTGATTATACATATTATAGGGTACGATATAATATTTTGATACTTGTTACAATGTGTAACGATCAAATCAGGGCAATGAGCATTTCCATAACTTCAAACACTTACTGTTTCTTTGTATTGGGAATATTCATAATTCTCTGTTCTAACTACAGTCATGCATCAGTTGATAATAGGGCTACATTCTGAGCAGTGCATCATGTGTGAACATTATAGAGTGTACCTACAGAAACTACAGGCTATAGGTCAGTCACTCAATGTAGCCTTGGATGAAATTGGGAAACCTGGTAAACACAAGATGGATGAGGCTGCTGCAGGTGTAACATAGCACACTGTTTTACAGTATACTTTTTTATATTTAGAGGGAGTACAGTGTAAAATAAGTTAAAGTGTAGTATGATAAGTAAATCAGTAACATAGTTGTTTATCATTATTATACCCTGTAAAAAATTGTATGTACTATATTTTTATACAAGTGGCAGCACAGTGGGTTTGTTTACACTAGCATTGTCACAAACACGTGATGAATGCATTAGATAATGACATCATGGTGGCTACATTACTGAGCAGCAGGAATTTTCAGCTCATTACGGTCTTAAGGGACCACCATCAGAAGTGCAGTACCTCATTGACCTTATGTGGCCTATGACTGTCTTTTGAACCTCTCCATGTTCTTGCATGTACCCAAGTTGTTCAGGCTTCTGTTGGTTGTTATTTGGTGTATCCTTGCCTGGTGGGGGAGAGCAGGATCGACTCTCTTGTATTCTGGTCTTAGAAGACAAAGTCTTCCTGGGTGTGGCACTTCCTCTGTGGGCCTGTCCCTTCAGCCATGGCAGCCAGTCTCTGCCTTGAGTCTTTGGTGGGTCTGGTGTGGTCTTGTCCCTCCCCAGCGATAAGAGACTACTAAGGGTCTTGTCCCTCCCTCAGGGTTAGAAGGATTTTTTTTACCTTTCCTCCATCTGCTTTATGTTCTCATCTAAGGTGACAGAATTTGCTGCCTTTTCTTCAACAGTTAGGGCTTTTGTTCCTTCGCAGAGGCACAGGTATATTCTGTATTTTCCTTCCCTCCTCTTGGAAGATTTTTCTGATGCTTTGCCTGGCTCCAGGATTGTGAACATCTGGCAGAAGCAAGAAGAGCAGCTGGGAATGCCCTGCATCTGTGTGTCCTGGCTTTTAGCCAAATAACACATTGAAAGGGTGGACCTGCCTTCTTCCTAAGCCTTGCCTGCACAGGACCTGAACTCCTGCCCCGCTCTACCTCCGTGGAGGCACCTGTCCTCCCTGTGCTACTTCTTGGATGCTATCCAGACTCACTTCTCTTATGGATTCAAAAATGATGATTTTGTAGTTTACATTTTCTTAATAATTTTTATGGTGAGAGATGTAATCTTTTCAGCTTTTAACTTGCTAAGTTGAAGTCTGATTGTTTTTTAAATCACTTTGTTTCATATTGTGGGTATTCTTTATGTATTTTCAATCTTATTTCTTCATTTTTTACATAGTATAAATTAGTCATTATTTCTCAGAGAAGCATCATTCTTATATCAATATACTTCTGTGCCTTGTCCATTCCTGAGACAAATCATACTTCTTTGACATTAATGAGATTGTAACCACAAATGAAAACGTCATTGTTATCAGACATTATCACCAGTGCTGATTCTTTTTAGATTATCACAGTGAAAAAACAAAAATTTTAAATTATTGTAGAGAATTCTCATACTTCCAAAAACACATGAGTGGCTCTTCCAGGATACTAGAGAAGCAGTTCAAGAAAAACTCGTGGTTTTTAATGATGGGAGGGTGCAGTATAAAGCATGGTGCTCTGCTAGTCTGGCAATGAGCATCCTGTTAAATAACTTGGTTAGATGTCTTTAAAAAATAGGCAGAAGATAGAACAAATGCAAAACAATTTTAGTATTTTTAATTATCAAGATTAGGCATTAATTAAATAACTGATGAAAGATCCTTTTCTGTTAAAAAAAAAAAGTTAGGCGGATTGGCATTGTAATCCAAAAATCTGAAATCTGAAGTACCAAAATCTAAAACTTTTTGAGTGGCAATGTGACCTTCAAGTGGAAATCCCATACCTGACCTCTTGTGATGGTTGCAGTCAAATGCAGGTACATTGAACATATTGCATGAAATTTCCTTCAGGTAACATATATATAAGATGTACACGAAACATAAATGAATTTCATACCTAGACTTGGCTCTCATCTCAAGATACCTCATTATCTTGGCAATTATTCTAATCCTCCCAAAAAAATCAAAAATTTAAAACACTTGTGTCCCAAGCTTTTTGACTATAGGATATCCAATGTGTGTATGTACATTGAACTGTGATGAAACTATAGACTGGATAAATATGAGTCCATTTCTGATGTGGACGCACTCTTGTTTCAGTGCTTACCAACACTAATCTCAGTTCTTCACTATGTTCAGAAGTTGATGGTTCTGCCAGAACAGGAGCTGCTGTCAGTCTGAACCAGGTGTTGACTGGGCCTGCTTTTCCAGTTCAGTAGTAATCACATGCCATCTTTCTAGACTACCTTTAGCAACTTGAAACTAGAAAGAAAGGACAAGAAATTTAAAATGGGCGTGAGACTTGGGGAACCGAGGGAAATAGTGAAAGGCTTCAGAGTGTATTTCTGTGATGCTGGAAGCGGTATTGAGTGCTCATTGTATGCTTTGTTCCTCTTCAGTGCCTTCCTCTGAGATCACCTATGGGATGATTGCCGCAGACCTGCTCCACTCTTTGTTGACAGTCAACATAGAACCTTGTGTGTTGAAGATTCAGAGCCTTTTTGTGCTAGATGAAAACAGCTACCCATTGGAACAGGATTTCTTCCTACTGGATTTCTATATTGACCCTTGCAAGGCATAGATCTAAGCCCTTTTCTGAGCCCAGATGAGGCAAATGGAAGCATTCCCAGAAAGAAGTACTGAAATGATTTGTCTTAAAAATAAATGAATGGCAGGACTTTGCTCTGGATTTTTAAAATAAATAAATATATTTTATTAGCACAATAGAATTGTGGTAAATATATAAATTTAAACTTTTATTTCTTTAAAGAAAATTCTGTGGAGTTTTATGTGTTACTTCTTGTTGGTCTCTTCCTTTCTTTTGGAGAAATGATCTAGCAATAAGGGCAATGTGTAACAGCTCTCTATGAGTTAGAGGGAGTCCCTTATTTATTCACTATATTCAGTCCCTTCTACTTTCAAGGCATTACATTAAGACATTCCCTCAGACATTGCTATTCTGATTCATAATATTCATTATTCATAAATGCTGCATGTTTTCTTATTTCTACCTTAATGAGTTAATAATATTAAATAATTTTCTTTTTTGGCACTACTGGAGTTAGAACTCAGGGCTTCACACTTGCTAGGCAGGTGCTCTACCACTTGAGCCAGGCCACAAGCCCTGGTTTTTTTTTCTTTTTCTTTCTTTCTTTCTTTTTTTTTTTTTTTTTTTTTGTGTGTGTGTGTGTGTGTGTGTGTAAGGTAATTTTGAGATAAGATTCTTGAGAATTATGTCCCCGGGCTGGCTTCAAACCATGTTCCTCCTGATCTCTGATGAGTAGCAAGATTACAGGCATGAGTCACCAGCACCCAGCTTGAAATAATTTTCTTTATTATGGATTAGTTTGCATAGCTCTGTATGTAGACCAGCTCAAGACAAGCACTGAAAACAGAGGTGACAGGATCTTTTATTAATTTTTAAGTGGGTAGAGTTCTGCTATTGGTTCTTATATAGGATTTGAGTGCCTTACTTAGCAACATTTTGCTGGTGGAGTACCTCAAGTGGTGGGGTGCCTGTCTCGCAAGCATGAGGCCCTGAGTTCAAACACCAGTGCTACAAAAAAAAAGAAAGAAAAATCTTAACAACATTTAATAATTTGTTCTCTCATTATGATTATGGAAGAAGCAGGTATGAAATGGTAATCACCAATAAGGAATTATGGGATGATACTTAACCTGTAAGTTTGGAATTTGCTGATTATTAATAGGTTAATTATATTGCCTGAGAGTAACTAAATTCATGCAGAAAGGAACAAGTTTATTTTATTGTGTGTTGTGTTTTTTAAAAATCTTTTTGCTCATTGGAATTGTTTTTCTAATTCAAGTTATAAAATTTTGGTTTCCCTGATAATGAACCTCAGGAGTTTTGTGATTCATTAAAAAATAATATGCATCCTGGGCGCCAGAGGCTCATGACTGTAGTCCTAGCTTTTTGGGAAGCTGAGATCAGGAAGATTGAGGTTTGAGACCAGCCCACGCAAATAGTTCATGAGGCCCCATTTCCAAAATAAACAGAGCAAAATGGACTAAAGTGTGACTTCAGCAGTACAGTGCCTGCTTTGGAAGTGTGAAGCCCTGAGTGCAAACCCCAGTCCCACCAAAAAAAGGGCATGTGCTGAACTACACAACACACACACACACACACACACACAAATTTTTCTATGGCAAGGGGCCTGTAACTTATAGTAAGTCCTCAGAGTGACCTGTGACAGAATAAAGAGGAAGAACAAAGTTTTAATTGGTATGTTTCTTTATGGAAAAAATAAGGGAATTAGAGGAGGGCATGCTCAGGCTTTGTCTAGCAATTAGTAAGAGGGGATAGAGAAAGAATTGTCCCTGTTTTGTATCTAGAGAGATTGGTGTGGGGAGCAGATTATGAGAAGCCTATGAGAACTTGACATGAGCACAGCAGTGTCAAATAATTTGCAGACTGAGTTGGCATGGCCCCAGCTGCAGAAGGGGGCAAGGGCAAAATGAAGCACAGCTGCTTTTCCTAAGATGTTTAAGTTCAGAGAGTAGCAATTGCAGGTTTCTCCTGTTACAGTGTCACACCCCTGCTGGAGAACTGTGGCTCCACCTCCTTGTTTGCCACTGTATATAAAAGACTCACTGAAGGAGGATGCAGTTGGTTGGCTGGTTGTGGGGTTGGCTGCTTGAGGAGGGTGGCTGTGTCTGTGAGTCTAAGGACTGAGACTTTAGGAGTTATGTTAGAGATTAGAGGAAATATGGGACAGTGCAAGTCTAAGGACTGAGACTTTAAAGAATAGAAAAGAAGAAAGGCTTTGAAGAATAGAGAAAAGTAAAAGAAGAGAAGTAAAAAAGAAGTGTGTCTCCATCCAAGCACCCAGCTCACCTGACCCCAGCTTTGTGCATGTTTGTCTTCTATCATTTGTCCTTTCCGCATCTCCAGTTGTCTCCAGTTAAATTTCTAGGACAGCACTCATGTGGATCATGAGAGGTTGGAATTCAAACAATATTTAGCTTTGCTAGATAATCCATCTGATGATTGATAGAACTCCAGCTTGGAGTTTTTGTCGTCCAACCCATGCTCTTTAGATTCTAACAACACTAGCAACAAATTTGGAGTTCTGACATAAACTCAGCCAGACAATGTGAGCACACCAAAGAAGAATTCTCCTAAGTGTGCCCTTCCCTACTTTGTCCTTAAGAGGTGGCGGAATCCCTGTTATCAGCTAAAACACGATCCCTTAGACAAGATGGCTCCTCACATCCTACTGGGAAGAAATGTTTAAACCATTTCTGGTAAGACAAAGAACACCAGTTCATACCAACATCTCTTCACAGTCTGGCACATATTTCATGGGTTACCAGAGACCCTCTCTTATTTTATGCTAGAAACTATTCCTGTTAAGAGGGCTCTAATCTCAGAAGTTATAATCCAATTCACTGGGATTGGGGTTGTCAAGCTCCTGCTATGATCTGAATGTGCTGCTCCTCTCCCCCCAATCTTTAACGTGGTAGCATTAAGAGGTGGGGCATCTGGGAAGAGAATAGGTCATTAGAGTGGAGCCTTGGTAAATGGGATTAGTGTCCTTACAAGAGAGGCCTGAGGGAGATGGTTTGCTGCTGCCTCTGACCAAGTGAGGACCCAGCAAGAAGTTGAAGCAGAGAACAAGCTCACACTGGACTCTATTGCTCTAGAACAATGAGAATAAATGTCTAATGTTTGTAAGTCTAGAAAATGGGAACTTCAAAATTAAGGTACCAACAGATTTGGGTGTCCCCCTTCTCTACTTGGTTCTCCCCATTTGTTCAACATTATTTTTTTCTCTTCCTGTTTCCTTCCCCTTTCTTTCCCAAACTTCACCACCTATCCAAATGGAGAAAAAACTGTAGGATTTTCCAAATGTTCTTCTTTGCAGAAAGAGATACTCTCTTTTTGTTTGTGACTACATAGGAAACTTCATGAAAGTTTCATGAAAGAACTCTGCTTGGATCTGCTTAGGTTATTTGCCCCGCTGTGTGGGTGAGTGGTGAGTGGATTGTACAGGATGAAAAGGGGAGTCCTTCCTAGATAGAAGGAGGGTTCTAGGCAAACAAGAACAGGCACACTGTAATAGAAATTAGAGCAAAACTTCATAGAGGATATGTTTAACTTCCTTCTTTAAATATGAGAAGTGTTTGCTACAAAACAGGGTTGGTGGACATAAAATATATAGTGTATTTGGAAAAATGGTGCATTTTAGGTTTAAGAAAAAAAAGTCCTCAGAATGTGTAGGAATGACACAGCAAGGACAATCTGTCTCTGAAGATCATCTAAACTCTTGGGTTTTTTTGGTGGTACTGGGGCTTGAACTCAAGGTGTCATGCTTGCTAATCAGGCACTCCATTACTTTAACTACTCTGCCAGCCCTCTTTTATTTTGGGTATTTGCAAGATAGAGTTTTGCAAACTATTTGCTTCTAGCCCAGATCCTCCTACTCTCTGCCTCCCAAGTAGCTAGGATTACAGGTGTGAGCCATTGGAGGACTTAACTCTTAAAACAATGAAGTTTTTATGGGTACACTAAATGTGGTAGGTAAAAACAAATATTCTCTTGTGCATAGTATAATTTGCATATTTTTTGAGTACTAATGGGATTTCTGAGAGCCACACCAGTTTTCCAACCGTAAAGTGCCAGAGTGCTGAGAAACCACAGATAGCATCTATCATCTTCCCAACATTTGAGTTACTATCAATTCAGATGCTGACACATGGTTGTTATGATTTAAAATGAGTCTAAAGATATCAATGATAACTTGCCATGGCATTTTGTTTTCTAAAATTCAAATTCATGAACTTTAAATCATATCAGAAAAGGCCTTTATGGGCCAGGGCATGGTTCAAGTGGTACAGTATATGTCTAGCAAGCTAGAGGCCCTGAGTTTAAACTCAGTACCACTAGAAAAAAAAAAGAAAGAAAAGGTCTTTCCTTGCATTTGCTATTGTGTAAAAGATTATACAGTTTTTAGCCTCTTAGGGAGGGCACCACTGATTGCCACCCAGCCCAGCATATCTATCCTCAAGAGGGAAAGGACCAAGAGAAAGCCCTTGTCTAAAGGGATGCAGGCCTGCATGGTAGAGGAGGGACAGCACAAGGAAGGAACACACAAGAGCTGCAGTCTAACACCCAAGGACCAGAAATGGGAAGGAAGTCTCCATTATACTCACTGAACACAGATGAAGCCCACTCCTTTCCACAAGAAGAAAGAAATTTGTGCTTAAGATTTATTTTATCTTTTTTTCTCTTTCCACTTTATTGCAGTTTCAGTTTGTCCATCTATTATTCCATTTTTTTCTCTTTTTTTTCTTACTTTCTCCTCCTCCCTCTTTCCCCTACTTTCCCTATATCTTCCTTACAAATCACTCAACAAGTGGTTTATTTTACCACCTTCATACATTACTCCCATCCTTTCTTTCCTCTGCAATCCCTGACAATATCATTCACTTCCACAATTACTAAACTACACCTCTACACACATTAGGATCTTATCCTATAGCACCCACATCTCAGACGTCTCCCTCTCTCTCCACCCCCCCTTCTTACTCATCTCCTCTTCTGCACCCATTATTTTTACTGCCTACGTTTTAATCTCCATGTAAGCAACTTTTATTTCCCCAACACCCCTCTGTTTATAGATAATGCTGCCAATGGTTTTAT